TGACGATCCAACCATTTTTTCATTGATTTTCAACCAATACAGATCCTGCCATGAAGAATTTTTTGACGATGATTAGGATGGATGGGTCAATGTAGTAAATACTTGGGTAAATTTAGCAATTCCTTGTATGTATGTATGTATGTATGTATGTATGTTTGAATTCTGTGGTGTGGAAAATGTGTAGATATATCTTCAGCTACTATGATTTTTTATTTATTTTATATATTTTTGTTGTTGTTTGTAACAGATATGGTTGAAAAGCAAGTGTGATGAATCAAGAACTGCAATCCAGTGGTAGTTGCTTTGAGAGATTGCCAGCAGAGCGAATACTATGTCACAATCTTAACTGCTGCTTTGGTGGCACACTGCCAACGTGGCGAATATTGGGTCACTATCTTGACTGCAACCTGTTTGTGATTGTGAAGATGTAATACATGAGACAAATGTTGAGCAAGGACTGCATGATGTTAAGGCCCAATGATGTGGGCAAATGCAGACACATCAGCAATGTGTCATTTTTTTAAAAAAAATCCTTGTATTTAGGTTTGCAAATGGGGAGGAAAGCTGTTATTATCTAATGGTGGCTACTTTGTGAGAAAGTGGAAATAATGAATACTGTGTCACCATCCAATGCTGCTTTTGAAACTATGAAGATTGTAGGGAAAGTTAAAGTTAATGATAGAGAATCAACTGGGACATATTGAACTCTGTCTTGTGGTTCACTATGTGTGGCACATCAACTGTCATATCACTTTGACCTGGTTCTAACTAGAATGCCTCTAATGTGGACATAGAAATTGGACTGAACCAAATCTTGCATACACATTAATAAGATTACTTTTGCTATTGAATGTGGTCTCACTTGTAATCAATTTTCTGAATGGCTATTTTTGGAAAGTAAATTTAACTAATGATATCTTGTGATTCTATATGTAATCCTCCCTTTTCTTATCTTTGTTTTTTACTAACTCATTTTTAATAATTTTGACATTACAATTTTGCAACATAAAATATATAAAATTTGTCATCTCAGATGATAAATATACGAAAGCACTACTCTACACACAATAATAATAATGTTGCATGAATTTTGTAGATCAAAAAGCCTCAAAGGTGGTAGGTACATATTATTCAAAATTATGATTAAACAATCATTCAACAACATTTGCATTAACCTTTTTATTATGTAGATTGTAACACAGCACCCTTTCAATATGCTCTAGTGACAAGTTTCTGTTTGAAAGAAAATTGTCCAATGAATGAAAAATCTGAATTTTTTAATATTTAATTTTAATTATGCTTTTAGATGATTATCAGAATCCTCCACACAAATCCAAAACATCCAACAACAAAATTGGCATGATGTTTCTGTGCAGTAATTGTCTCTTTAAACTTTGGAGGTGCTCTGACATTGGAGAAGGAGGGCACAATCTCAAATGGAGCCAAAAGAGACAAGCTCTCAATCCTCCCACAATAGTCCACCTTCTTCTTTAGATACCTCCTCACTGTAACCAGCTTTTGAACCCTAAAAATGTCAGTCTTTTAAATTGTGTGTACAGACTAAGGAAAAAGCCAGATTTTACCTTCTTATTCTTCTTTCTACACTTTCATTCAAACATATTCCATTACCTATTCGTGGAGGAATGGCATTGTTGTGTCATCAGTGGGAATTATTCATTTTTGTGTTTTCTTTTTCATTTTCTGTTTGTGTCCATGATTCATAGAAAAAGAAGAACAGCATCAAGTGGGCTGTTGAAAAATCCTGTAGACGTTGGAAGATGGACTTTCACATCTCGGTACGGAATCCAACAAACAAAAAAATAAAACAAAAAATAAAAAATTGAGAAAGAAATACAGAATATACTTAGCAGAGTTTGTCTGCCTCACTCCAATGATTCCACAGGACATACATCCTCGTTTTAAAAACATCGCTAACATTATTTTAAATGCTTATTTGAAAGAGCCCAGAAAAGTGAAAGTGGTTTGCTGCTAATTATTAATAACAGCATATCATTTCAAAATTATTTCTGAACAGACCAATCCATTTATTGATTTATCTATTTATCTACCTGTCCATAAACAGATTGGATTTCAATGGCAGGGATCAAAGAAAAGAGCACTGGCAATAATCTCTTCCTCCATCTCTTGATACTAGATCTAAGTATTTAGGGCTCAGGAGATAATTCTGCACACAAGTGGGTGAGGACACAAAACCCCATTTGGTTGTTCCCATGGTTGGGTCACATGTGGAGATTAATTGCATTCCCTTGGACCAGCACATGCCTAAATTATTGGAGTCTTGTGGACCTTCTATCTGTGTAAACAATCCTGTGTTTTACAGGCTTCATGCAACAGCAGGCATTATACTATCCAAAATTTACACACTGCACAAGCGAGAGGCTAGGCATCCTTTACCAGAACTAGAGCTGGTGGTACCAGAAGTGGAATCCTGGTAAGGCATCTTCGGATGCTCTCATGTGGATGTGGTTGACACTGTAGCCATGACAAGGAATGAATTGTATGGGTTTGGACAAAGATGAAGTACAAGAATAATTTTTTCTTGGCCTTCCCCTAAGAGTACATTTAAGAATTTTAGTGGATGCTTTTGAGGTGAGCTTGGGTAGAAAACAAACATAGCCATGCACTTTGAAGCAACCTTGCAACAAAGAAAAAAAAGTTATTCCAACTTAAATAGAGACATTGTTCTCTTTGAGAAGATTAGCATGATTATTTTTATCTTTTAAAATCCCCTCCACCTCCTTCATGTATGTATTTTTTTCCCCTACCTTTTTATCCCTTTCAATGAAAAAACGTTTTGTTTGTTTTGCCTTTCTAAAAATTGTATCCAGAGAGCAATTTTGGTTCTTTGTGCCATTGTGCTTTAGAGTGAGATCCGCAACTGTATTCCGTTACAACTTTTTTAAACTCATTTCTCTATGTTCTAGAATTGAATTTGAGAAATCAATCTGGACCAACAGCACTGTGTTTTTCAGTATCCTTTCCAGTAAAGTAGTTAAGTTTGATATAGTTTACACAATGTAAAGTTATCACCAAAAGCTTCTTCAATATTAATCTTGGCCTTTGGGTTATGTAAAGGACACAGAGCACATGTCATGTGACAAGATGGGATTGAAGATGATTCTGATGTCATTCAAATATACCATGTGCACCATGAAGCATGATCATAAGAAATAACTCCAACTAAATGCCTTCATGTTTCATTCTATTTTACTTTATTGGAAAAAGAGTCATAAGTAAAATCATGTATGCATATGAGACAATGCATCTTTATAGATCAAGTACCTAATTGTTACCAACACTTATCTAATAAATTCAGCAAATGAATCTGCTCAATTGTAATGGATGATTTGCATAAGATGAATTTTTGTCAACATCCTTTTACACTTATAAACCAAAAAAATGAGTCATAATGTGTATATTTCAAAAAACCAAAAGTTAATCAGTAGAAGGATAGGGACAAATAAATTATCCAATAATTAATGTGGATATATATATATATTTTTTATCTTTTTATTTCATAAGTTTTGATGATAATTTTAACTAAGTCATTGCAAAGAGTGATGAAGTGCAGATGGAAAATCAACTAAAAATAATATGAATTTTTTTTTATTTATAAAAAAGCATCTAATAACTTACTATGATAAATTTTTGGTGAAATAGAAAAATAAGACAATGATAAGCATAATAATAATAGTAATATACTATATTTGAATTGAAGTATAATATGACAATATGTAATATGAACTGAAAATATGTATTATACACAACTAATAAATAATTATGTGAAAATATTTTGTAAATAAATTATAACATATCATAGGAATAAAAACAGGTAGAATGTTTAAAAATATGTAGAAATTATGTTATGACGTATGCCGTAAGGCATAAATTGTTGTTTGAAACCAATGGCAATAAGAATTGTGTACAAGTAAACACAAAATTCACCAAGTTTGACAAACCAAACTTTGATCTTTTAAAAAAAGTTGCCTTGTAACTTTTACAATATACATATTTATATACATATATGTATGCAATGATAATAGGACCCCATTGATTTGGCCATCATGGTTGGATGGTAGCGATGAAAGGAAGGAGAGTGAAACATGATGATTGCCACAAGGGCATCTTCCTCCCTCTTACTCTCACACATTCTTCCACATTCTCTTCCTCTTTCTCACTCTCAATCTCACTTGTGAAGTAAAGTGAAGGTTGAGCATCATCCTCAATTTTGTGTCAACCATGGATGGATAGGATCCCACGGGGAGGGATAGCTAGAGTTGGAACAGTGCACTCATTCCCCCCTCAAAAAAATTAAATTATCAGAAAGTAACAACAATGGAAAGAGGAAATGAAAGACGTGGAGAAAAGTAGAAGTGTGTCAGAAGATTGGGTTATACCAATGACAAAGGAGAGCAAAAGTTATTCATTTCTGTGGGTGGGTGGGTTTGTACTTGGGCTTGGGCTAAGCATGTACCCCTCCCAAGAGATCAGGAATGGATTGGATGCAAAAATCATGCAAACACACACACACTCATACTTTGTATAATTTTACAGATTTTGATGCACACTTCAGTATGACTGCATGGGCTAGCTCTTTCTGTGATGTTGCTGGTTTCAAGTAAAGCATCATAATTTGTGAAAACATACCATGATTTTAAAAGCACATAAAACCTGTATAATTATCTTGCACTTCAAATATTTACTTTAAATGTGTGAAAGAATAATCCAAAATAAAGATACAAGTTAAATAAGGTTGGCCACAGAGTAATAACAAAGGCCAGCAAAAACATCAAGTTTGTTGAATTATAATTAAACTTCAAGTTGAAACCTTCCAATTTTTTCTTCCAAAACCAATGACAGTTAATTTAGCCACTCTTTATTTGATTAAAAAAAAAATAAAAATAAAAATCTTAAATTTTGTACTCAATGTAAAATGTTAAAACCTCTAACATTTAGACTATTGTTACACACATGCAAGATTACATTGTACATTGTCCCTTGCAATATCACTCTTGTAAATGCATTGAATTGAATTTTATTTAATAAAATAAAACTTCAAGAATATTAAAAATTCAGGAAGAGGGAAAAATCTGCTCGAGAATAAATGAGTGAATACATGAGGCATGTAAGCAATGTTGGAAAATGGACAAGGAGGCCCAAGCATAGGAACGATACTCAACGGGTGGGGGCGGCTAAGATCCCGATGCCAGTGTGAAAGCAAATCGGCGCCGCCACCAACTGCCACTGAGATCGTTGACGCGGCACCCTTCAGCTGGAGCCGCGGTGACACATCCCCCCGACGGTCAGCTCGAGCTCTTGCAATGCGACCCCATGACCGGGCCCCCCGCGCATTCATCGAGCGCGGGGGGGGATTTGTAATTCGCACTGGGGCCTGTGCATCGGTAAATCCGGTGCGAGCGTGGAGAGAGAAAGAGTGCAGAATTTCGGGTGGGCGGCAAGCCAATTGCATGAATCTCGCCATGAATGCCACTCCGCTGAATCCCATCTCCCAAGATCATTACCTCAACTCCTCCCCTTTTTCCCACAACGTTCAAAACCCGATCATCGTCGCCTCCTCGCGGTGTGTTTTTTATTCTGCCATCCTCCGTAGCTCCATTATTGGCTCCATCTTGTTCAATTATCGTCGCCTCCCGGCCACCTTGCAAAATCCTTCTCCGCTGCTGGTCTGGTCAAATCCTGTAGCCAACCCCGTGATTTGGTTTGGCCCCACCGTGTTCGTGTTACGTTTGGCGTGGCAACCTGCAGTTGGGGCCAACTGGAATTGGAATTTCGGAAATGAGTTTTCTGTTTTTTTTCTTTTTTTCCGGGCGGTTGTATAAATTGGGAGTTTATCCTGTGTTGTTGCGATAATCGGAAGATTTGGACGGATGATTGACTGGCTCTTGGGGAGAGGGATGGGTTTTAGCAGCCATGATTTATTGTTGATTGGTGATGGTTGTGGTTGTGGTGATGATGATTAGATAGCGTGCTCGATGCGGTGGAGGTTGCTGAAGGATCAAGCTGGTTGCAATCTGTAATGATGGCGTAGGGATTTAGTATCATGTGTTAGTGAGGACGAGGGGATGGATTTAAGTTACTAATATATGTGTGTCCATCCATGTTGTGTGAGAGTATGCTTAGCATTTTGTTTTTACGGATTTTTTAAAAATGGTTCTGAATTGTTCCGTGAAAATTTTCTTTGCATAATTCGAGGCAGGCTTTGACTGGGTCTAGGGGTCGTTCCAGCCATTTTTCTAACTCTCCGTGTGATGAATCTTTTGCATCAACTTTTTTCTTCCATTCCCTGTCTTTTTAGGGGTTTTGTTGCGGAGCGGTGTTGGTCATGATCACACTCTCATCGATGCCCCGTTGAGTGGGCACAGGTGATTGGAGTGTACTTTGGCAGATTCCTAGCCTTGACTCATTGAGGCTGCTTCAAAAGAGCCAGCTGAGAGGCCTACAGTGTCAGTCTCGGTTCTGCCATGTTCAGTTTGTGTCATACGAGAAGGATTGAAGGATTTGGTCCTGCTCTGCTCTGCGGAACGTTCATGTACTCTGCAAATTGATCATCTCGTTTGCTTGGGACAACACTCTGTTCTGAACACCTGCTAGGCTTTCTCCGAACATTTAGTGTCAAGAGACATAGGATCATCTGAACGCTGTTGTCATTACGAAATTTCAAACAAGTGTAGGCCATCATCTTGGTGAGAGTATTGCTGAATTTTGAATCTTCCGTGAGTCCTCTGTGACATGCTGCATTGAGCTCTAGTGTCATAATATTCCAAGGCTTTAGCGAAGACAAGGTTGAAAGGGAGTACCGACGTGTTGGGATTTAACAAAGTTCCTGAAAGTACTCATTGATAACGGCTTAGGATTGTGGCATAGGAGTTGAAGGAATTCCGTGATTTTTATGCAATAGTTCGTGCATTTCATTCAGTCGTGAACCATAACGAATCATGCCTCCGCAGTCGACTGCGAAATTTATAGTCATGCCAGGGAAGGTGATGAAGAGTACCCCGCCAACAACACCACCGAGAGAGGAGGCGGAGCCGCAGAGCATCAGCAAGCGATCTTCATGGAAGACATCCCGAAAGAGCTCCTCCAAAATCACGCCCAAGGAGCCTTCACCGACGCAGGTCTCGACGAAGCAGACCAGAAAGTCCAAGTCTAGGGAGACATCTCCCACCAAGGAACCACTGAAGTCGTGTCTTAAGAAGCCATCGAATGGAAATACCTCGCCACTGTCGCGTCACAGCGATGGCACACAAATGTCAATGCCAAGCGAGTTCACTGATAGCTTGATGGATCGAAGTGGTCCTCTGAAAGATGTCTACAACGAGAGCCCCAAGGACGTACTCGAATTGGCTCACCGCGAGCAAGAATCTGCGCAGACGTGGTCCGATGAGACTGAGGACGCCAAGCAGATGCAAGGCACGGACGCTACTACCAACGCCGCCCGCCGGCGCCGGGAGATTCCGGTGGCGTTCATTGAGGCATTTTCTCGTGACGAGGAGTCCGTCGCCGACAGCCCACACATGGGGCCGTACCTTCTAAAGCTCGCGAAATCGTATGCCTCCGGCGAAAATCCTGTAAAAGCCTTGGAGTATTGCATCCGCGCCGTAAAGTTCTACGAGCGACATGCGCAACAGGAAAATCTGCTGGACCTGGTCATTAGCCTACATATCCTGGCCGCCCTGCATTGCCACCTCGGGCAATATGAGGACGCTATTGCGCTCTTAGAGCGCTCTCTCACAATCCCCGACCTCGAAAGCGGCGGGGAAGAGCACGCCCTTGCGGCATTCAGCGGGCACATGCAGCTAGGCGACACCTTCAGCATGGTTGGAAAATTAACTCCAAGCCTGCAATCCTACCACCGAGCTCTCGACATTCAGAAGTCCATCCTTGGAAATTTCGACTCTCGAGTTGCGGAAACTTGCGTTTACGTTGCTGAAGCGCACATGCAGGTCAGACACCCCCTCCTCCACCTCAACAGAATTCGCCAATTCAAAACAATATACTCCCTCAAATAAGCCTTGAAAGCACGTCGTTTGTCAGTAATTCGGCATTCTATTCCCTTCCATAGACGTTCTCCAAACCTTCAGCGACCAGGAGCTTGCTGCACATGTTGATTGTCGCTCTCTTCCACACAGCAATTCTAACTTCATTTGAGAATCCGTCTTGATTGCAGGCGTTGGAGTTTGCCGAAGCCAAGGAGCTTTGCGAGCACTCTTTAATCATCCATACGAAGCACTGTGAGCCAGGGTCTGTGGAGGAAGCCTCCGATCACCGGCTCCTGGCTATCATCTTCAGCGCTCAAGGAGAGCACAGTAAAGCTCTGGAGTCCCTCGTCTATGCAAACGACATTTATGTCAACTTCGACCACGAGGTACTTCATATCTCGAATTTGATCTTTCTCGCCCTCTCTCTCTCTCTCTCTCTCTCTCTCTCCCTCACACACACACACACACAAGAACACACAAACCCACCAGAAATGCGGTTGAACGTAACAATTGATCAGGGTATCTGCCGCTGTGATAGATGGATGTGGCCACCGGGAACCAGAGTATAGGAGACGAGCTCCTCGCTCTTGGCCGGGACTCCGAGGCCTTCGTGTGCTTCAGCAAATGCGTAAGCGACTTCAAGATGCTGCGAGGTGATCACAACGCCCTCGTAGCGTCAGCGTACACGAGCCTTGCGGACCTGTTCTTGCGCACTAACAATCCCAAAGAAGCGAAGGTCCACTGCCAGCATGCGCTTCAAATCTATGCTAAACAAGGAGTGGGCCATATTCCCGGCGATGTGGCGTATGGATTGGTGAGCATCGCAAGCATTCTTGAGCAATTGAACGAGAAAGAGACGGCTCTTCTTCTGCTTCAGCGGGCGTATAACATTCAAGACAGGATGCCAGGTTCTCTCTCTCTCTCTCTCACACACACACACACACAAACACACGCACACACGTCCCGTCATTATCACAACATCGTTCCCGTGTTACTGTGTACGTGAGTGAAATGCCTTCTCACTTGTGATGTTTTCTGAACAGGTCAGCAAGCCACAGTAGCAGGATTGGAGGTCCAAATTGGGATTCTTCAGAACATGTTGCGCCAATTTAAGCCCGCCTTTCAATCTTTCCAAAGTGCCATTGCGAAGATGAAGAGCGGGACCTTGCGAAACTCCCCTCTGGTGGGTTTAGTGATAAACCAGATGGGGATCACCTCCATTGAACTGGGTGACATACCACAAGCAGCGCGTTACTTTGAGGAAGCCATGGCCGTCATGGAAGGCACTGCTGGCCCCCAGCACCTGGATACTTTGGATGTGTGCAACAATCTGGCAGGCACATATGTCCACCTTGGACGGTAATTCAGTTTTCTTGCAGTTTATCCTCATCCTTGCATAAGCTTCCCCTCAATTTTCGTTTGACTCACTTTGCAAGAGACATAGGTTGCAGATATGAGCCTCGGCCTTAAAATGTTGTGCAACCTTGTTCAGAACGGAGGAGGCTCGGGAACTTCTGGAAGAGGTGGTGAGGGTGAAGGAGGAGAAGCTCGGCGCAGTGCATCCAGATGTTGGCGAAGACCGGGCTCGGCTCCAAGCATTGCTCTCCGAGTCTGGGCGGTCAACAACGTATAAGAGGTCACGGAAGCTCGTGGAAATGCTAACGTCTGCGAGGAAAACTTTCCATACGTCCAAGTGAAAGAGGTTTCTGTAAAGTAGAGGAAGAATGGTGTACAGCAGAAAAGATTTCATAAGCTTGTAGCCGCCTCAAGCTGTACATAGATTTGTTACATTAAGTCGTGTAGAGGTTTGTGATGATTGCACTCGTGTGAGCGTGGAGCCAGCTTTTAGAGTCTGCAGATTAGATCGTTGCCAATTTACTTTTGAGAGCAATTGAAACAAGCTCCATTGTCATGCCACAGATTTTCCTTTGGTTGTCAGCGTTTAGGAGCATCGGTGTTGCTCATCTGTTACAATACGAGAATTACTGTACTATTTATGGAACTGGTGGTATTAGTGACGCGTTTCTCCATTTTGTTTAGAAAATAGCCACTGATACTGCTTCTGTCCCTGTAAACCTGCAATTTTAAGACTTCAAAGATTTTGAATACATATAAATACTGAATGTGGTTGAAATTTTCCTTGGTTGTAACAGGAGCACTCCTTATGATGTGCAGCCCATATTGTTCATGTAACATAAATATGCCCACTTTTTTTGTAAACTAATGAATCGCCGCAACCGGCTACCGTATTGTACAACAACTTTGGGCCTTAATCAATTTCCTAACACAATGCTACACTTACTGTACTCCTACCTTACTTGTCATATCCTTTGATCCGTGACAGGAAAAAATACGCACTTAATCTGTATCCGAAAAGCATAATGGCCAAAGCCATTGCGGCAATGCCCAGGTGATCCAGACCCACATTAGCCACTGCGGGATAGTCTGCAATTCGGCACCGTCCAGAAGGAACCGTGTAGCAAGGATAGGTCTGGTCGGAGGAGTACTGGGCTGCTAGCTGGAGCTTGTAGCCCCAATAACTGACTGAGAGGTACTTGATCCATCCAATCCATTTGGGAGTGTCCTGAATGTAATACCCTCCAGCTAGCAAGAGAGTCAACATAATGACAGATGCTAGAGTTGTGGCTTTTTTGACATCCATTAAAGCCGCCCCCAATGTGAGTCCCAGCCCCTGCAAGCACAATCACAACCGCTTCGCTGAGAAGGAAGAATTTTGCTCATGTTGAACAGAACAACAACGTGCCAGCACAAGAGCTGTTTTTTTCTTTGATACATTGTGTACATATATCGAAACTTTTAGGGTTTGAAAAGTAGTGAAATGCAGCATACCTGGGATACAAGCACAGTGTAAAGAATAACCAGAGTAGTCAGAATGAACGCCACAAAAGTTTCCTTCAATCCGGCCATCCAGTACACGATGGTTATGAAAACGGTTGGCAGAACGAGCTCCAGAGGCAAATCGCCTACAACGCGAGCCATAAAATAAGCACTAAGCCGGTACATTCCTGAGGCTCTTTCCTTGATCAGCATGGCTCGTTCTTGTGGGAAGGTGAAGATGGCAGAGAACACAGGGAAGAATCCCCAAAATGTTATGAAGAAGAACAAAAGCCCGACCTGTGAGTCACAAAGGATCAACCAAGTGGATGTAAGGATGCCTGATACCCATGGCTATGAGTTCTCGAGATGCGACAATTTTCTACTTCAGGGTTCAGTTTCTGAAGATTTAAAGTTGAATGTCTTACCAAGAAATAGTTATTGCCCTCACGAAGACGTAACTGTTACGTGAAAGGGCTGAGAAATTCAATTCACCTGATCTTGTACTTGAGAAGTGGACGATTTCCACCAAAGCAAGCCGGAGATTATGGTGATTGCCAGAACTTGCCCTATTTTCAAGGGGGAAAATGCTTCATGGCGGCGTTCCTTCCAACCTCGTCCCAGTAATACTTTGAATTGCTCCCTCCATGATGTAGACCATTTACTCATCATAGCTGGAGTTGTAACGAACACAACACATGAGAGCATGTCATGATTCAAGCACGAAACCCTTATCCAGGCCATTGCTACTAGCGTCTTGCTCTTTCTTCTTTAGATAAGAAATTTAGAATCCTAGCGAAGTCCTCGTCATGCAAATCACAAGACCCTCGCCCTTTGCTATATCCAACGACTTGCAAGAAATGCCAAAATATTACTGGGATATACCTTCTGCATTATCCATCTATGCTGCGCCAATGTTCTCTTCAGCTCATGTTTGGCACAAAAGATAGTAAAGCACGTATTCTTTTGACATGTATCCAAAAACAGGGCATACCTTTATCATCTGTTGCAGCGGCATCAGTGCCATCTACTTCGGAATGCACTTGATCAGCCAAATTGATCTTGTATGCTTCGATCAACTTTTGTCGCATGGTTTTCAGGTCGTCGCCTTGCTTACTCCATTCAAAAGCAGAAGGAATGCCCTCCTCAATCAGCCTGTCAGGTGTCACTCCTGCAAATATTCTCAAAATGTAGGTCAGGCCAAAACAGCGAAGTAGGATGTTTTAAAAATTCCGAAAATATCCGAGAATTTTGTCTTGTTTTATAGAATTTTCATCTTTCTCTTCACTTCTTGGTGTTGGTATTTTTCTTTTAAAAAAAAACACAACAATGTTAACAAGTGAAATCTATCAATCTACACAATTTTGTTATGAAATCTATATAAAATGAGAAAATATATATATGTAAGTGAAGCAACGAAGGTACATAACAAAATGTATGTTCACCAATGTTCCTTAGACCGAATTAATAAAGCGTAAATGAATTGGAATTGACCAGAAACACACCATTAGCAAGATCCAGTAAAAAGTCGGCAGGATTCATCGGAAATGGCGGCGAAATCTGGATAGATTCAAAATAGCTCATTGCATGATTGGCACTGCCGTAGTAAAGCAGATCACCCTCGGAAAGTAGAATCATTTTGTCAAACATATAATAGACAGTGCTGGAAGGCTGATGAATCGTGGTTATGATGGTTTTCCCGCTCTTCGCAAGGTCCTTCAAGGTTTTGATAATCCTCAAGGCAGTTGTTGAGTCTAGTCCCGAAGTCGGCTCATCCAAAAAGAGAAGGCTAGGGTCCACGAGCATTTCATGGCCGATACTGACTCGCTTTCTTTCTCCTCCTGAAACACCTCGCTTGAACTGACCTCCAATGATGGTATCTTTACAACGATCTAGTCCAAGCTCGTTGATGATAGACTCCGCCCGTTTCACCTGAGGAAATTCATCACAAACAAATAAAAGCATTTAAATCAATCAAAATTTTGAAAAACAACCCCGTACTCGACGCTTCAAACTCAAACTCGGAACATTGATTCACCGAAAAGTCCTAAATGTGCAAAATTTAGTTGCGTGCTTCAACAGAAATTTGAGAATTTCAACTCGTTTACCTTCTCCTCAGTCGTGTAAGTGTCAGGTAGCCGTAGTCTGGCAGCATACACAAGTGTCTCCTTCACTGTCAAGTTCGGAAACAGCACATCGTCTTGTGTCACAAAGCCCGTGCGTCTTTTCACAAACTTTGAGTAAGGCTCGTTGTTGTAAAGAACTGTTCCTTCCACCTTCACACTCTTCAGCCTTCCTCCAAGGACCTTGAGGAGAGTTGTTTTGCCACTGCCAGACGGCCCCAGCATGACGAGCATCTCTCCAGGACGGACGACCCCAGATATTCCATGTAAAATCTCTTTCGTCTTGTGTTGAGTCTTCGCGAGATTAGATTTGAGCTTCATTACGTTCCACCAATTCTTAGGCTGCTTCAAGGTGACGCTGTATACTACGTCGGAGAACTGCAGCACAGAAAAAATTGCAATGAACATGAGCCCGCTACGGAAGCAAAACCGCTGCCCCAAAGATGCAATGCTAATTACTTTCAGAAGCATTCGTTGGAGATGCTTTCAAGATACCTTCAATATTATGGGAACAGAGTGTAGGTGGATTCCCGGCCTGTTGAGGCAGTTCTCATCCGGCTCTTTCGCATGCACGATCAATCCGTTTGAATGACTCGGTAATTGTCCAAGCTCTACGTCTGGATTCTCCTCCGCATTCTTCATAAGGGGAGCCATGAGTTCCCTATGATATCCCACACGTATGTTCTGGACTGCAGAGCGTTCATTCACAGTTCAAAGAGCAGGTCCAACGCTAACTGGTCGACCAATTTCCTATCAGGTCCGGGACATGCACATATTGATCATAATGTTTGTAAGGTCTCTAGCGTTAATTCTTCCAAAGACACCACTCCAGTCAAATTCCTAAAGATTGCAGTAAGTGCTGCAAGCACAGCATCTGCGAATGATGGAGGAACACCGATCAGTTATTCGGGTGTTGTCTTCTCAATTTAGAAGGTGTTTGAGGAACCAACTGCGTGGCCGCGAAGAAGACATACTACTGCTAATAGTGGTACTACCACAACAGGTTTGATATGGTTGCTCACAAGAACCTCTATATACACCACAACGTTACTATTCTTGCGACGGCCAATAAAGGCTGTCTCTCGACAGAAAAGAGAAAAGAAAAAAGAAAAAAACGCATCCATTCCTCCAAGGCCTGACCCCAAATTTTCCTGCTAGCCCTGCTCACTCACTCTACGGCCTACATGCAGCCCAATCTCTCGGATATAAACTGATCGTAATCCAATTCAAACGCCATCGTTACGCATTCGGTTCCACACGGAAGCTAGCTACAATACGGGAATGCTTGAGTCACTTCGATGAACGGATGTGGAAATCTTCACCTAGTGGTTCATTAGTTCATAATCTCCCGCATGTGAATCCATCTAAATCCCCCCATTACTTTACAAGCACAGGAATCCAGCCGGTTGAGAACAACTGCACCTCACGTCAAACCAAGAACAACACGAAACGGACTCCCGCCTTCCTTCCTTCAGATTCCCCCATGCAACGCATCACCCACAAACTAACCGCCAATTTTAGAACCTTCCTGCTTCAGACGTAACCCCCAAGGACAAAACGACAGCATTCCATGTGGATTTCTCTTCACGGCCGCCGCGGTTCTCACAAATATTCCAAGACCCAACCCAATTTAAGGGGGAAATCCCTAGTAGTGTCCTTGGCATTGATCTCTCCGACCACTAACGGAGTAAAATCCAAAAGAAAAAAAATCTGCCACAGTCAGTCATTGGCACCGTCGCCGACGTCGCCCACAGATATTTCCATCTGTCAAAGGGGGCCATGCGGTGGTGGCCCTTTCAACCCGAAGCCATGATATGCAAACCGAACTCATGAACCAGAGAGAACAAAAGGTGGGAGCCTGTTTCCATGATGGACGGGTGGGGAACGGGTTTCGGTCACTGCAGGGGATGAGCCAACCCAGCCCGTCCCCGTCCCCGTCCCCGCCTATGGAAACGAAGCCGCTGCTGGAGAAGCGTAACCTCGAGGTGCTCTTCCCCTGGAGGAAGGACCCGACTCTTCCAAGGGGATCCACGAGGACACAGGATCTTCGTTCTTTCTATGTTGGGGGATCGACGGACCATGGCGCATGCAGCGTCGTTGTCCCTTTTCCCGCGACCAGCGCATGGGAGAGTTTTGAGAGGGGCCAATTGGAGGTCGCCACCTGGACATCCTTTTTTGAAAGGTTTTTAGGGCTGACCGGGATGGATGGATAGGTGGATTGTTAGGGCAGCATTGTTTCGTCCAGGGACTCCAAAAAATACAGCTCACATTACTTCAAAAATACAAAAATAAAAATACAACCCACTTGCTCTTGGCCTCCCTCGTTGGCGAACTTCATTGTATAGTCTTTTTGGTAGTGAGATTATGTCTTCTTTTTCTTCTTTTTTTTTTTCGCTTTTTTTACACTTTGCATACACGTAGGTGTTTTTTCTATTTATAATTTATAACGATGCTTGAAATGGGATGATGATTTGTTGAAATTGTACAACATGACAGATCAAAAACTTTTCATATGACATATTTGAGCATACCTTATTAATTACTAATATAACTTGTGTATTTTTTTCATAATACTTCAAAGTAGATCAATGAAGAATAGAGCATACCCACATGAAAAATATTTAAACATGTAATTTTCAAAAATACTAAATAAATAAATAAATAAATAAAACTTGTAATTGAAGTGAGGAGACTTGTAAAATATTTAAACTTGTAAGGAAGTGAGCTAAAAATTCGAAAATAAAAAACCAACAAAGTTTTAGAAGGAATTTCATATTTAAAGATTAAGAAGCCATGACCAAATTATTTTTTAAAATAATAACTCTTATTAAGTGATTGAAGTCTTATGATTAATTTTAAGAAGATATTGCCAAGTCAATAGATTAAATTGAAAATTAAATTAATGATGATTTGATATTGCTAAAATATTATTCAATGTTTCACAAAGTTCTGAGATTACATGTTTTGTCTCCTTTTTTTAAATATGATTTTACAGTAGATTGAATAAAGAAACTTGATTTTGAAATAAAATCATGAAATGATTAGTTGAATCATACTTGATTTTATTTTATTTTATTTTATTTTTCAAAAAACCATAAATCATAAAAAATCCATTTGTTGTTTTGGATAAGTTTATTTCCCTATTTAACTTCATAGATATTTAAATTTTACTTAAATTGGCTTCATTATGTTCAAGAATAATTTTAGTACATTATACGTTCATATTTTATTGCACTATTTAATTGTATTTTTTGAATTTAACATGAATATTTGATCTCAACCCTCCTTGTAAATAAAACAATGATAATAAAACTACTCTTGTATATCAGTTGCACATGACAGCTATAAAAGAATTTATTAACAAAACTACATATAAAAAAGAAAAAAAAAAGAAAAGAAAGTATGTATATGTATATATATATATATATATGTAAATATTGAGGCAGTGTTTATGTTTTTGAAATAAAAAAATATTTCTGAAGGCCAACATTCAAAAACAACTCTTATTTTTGTAATGTAAATGATGTTGTAAATTTTTTTAAATGTTTAAAAGATGATTTAAAGGATTCTTTTCAATTTCCTAAAATTTAAAGGATTATTTTCAATTCTAAGATAATATTAAGGAATTTTAAATTATATATATATATATATATATAATTTTATTTCTTCATTGTAAAATATTTTTACACGATGCAAAAAATCTAATATAAACAAGAATGGTTGAACATCCAAGGTTTTAAAAATCTAATTGCAATTTATTTTTTAAAACAAAAATATTTTTTGATTTAATTCTTTGTATCATTTACCATTCTAATTGTAAAAAGAACACCTTAGTATCAATTTATCTCTTGTAAAAATCTATGAGTAATGTACAGATTTATTACCAAGTTCTCATTTGTTCTTCTTTTGGTTATTAAATGAAGCATTAGGAATAAAAGCTGTTGTATTTGCCATTGAGCTTAATGATATAAATCGACGTGTTTAAATTTAGATAGATTTCAAAGCAAAATTAATTAAGAAATAACACAATACAACCCTTCAAATTGGACAAACCACAATTTCCATGGTACTTCTTATAATTTAGATTTAATATAGTCAAAATCGCAATTAAAAATAGTTGTTAACGCTGTTGTAGTAACCTTGTATAAGAGAGTAATCAATCCATTTGTCTATTTACTTAAGTACAATACAGCAAATGAATGTGAGCAACAGCTAATTAAACATGTGAAACTTCACGTTGTTCTCCGAATCCAATATTTGCTATAATTCAGAGGTTATGATTTGGGGTGTCCACGTCGACACCATCAGAGGTGGGGGTGGCACTTTTCTGAAGTGGCACTTTGGGTGGATGGGTTCACGAGGCAGTGTTGGTGTTGGAGCCCTCCCCACATGGCGTCGTCACATCCATGGGGACTTCATCACTCATCCTGGCCCTTCACTTATTCATCCATCCATCAGCCTAGTCCACCTCACGCATTCATCCATCACCTCACGCCGGCCAGTGTCGAGAGCGACCGCATGGTAGGTATCACATGCAAGCCCCCATCAACACCCCCAACCTTATGACTCACGACTTCCTCATTAACTTCGTTGCCCACCTGGGAAGTAAAAAAGATGAGGTGGCACCCACGTTGCAAATCCACGTCATCTTTGCCAGTCCTCCGTGGCTGAAGCTGAAACCCTAAATACTTGGTACAGCGGTGGCAGTGGTCCAGACCAGAAGAGGCGCGGTGGATATTGAGTAGGAAAAAGAGAAAGGGTGACGTTCGCGCCAGCGGCGTCGACCTCGGACATATCACAGTTGCGCGTGGGTATAATTCAGCCTCGAAATATTCGGATTCTGTGTGCATGTTTTTGAAATCTCCAAGAGTGCCGTTAGAGAATTGGAGGTTGGAGGAGGAGCACAAGTGGAAAAGCTCAAGAGAGATCCGAAGATGAGTACGAAGAAGCGCGGAAGTGTGGATTACACGGCGGCGCCTGACTGGGCTTATAATTCACGAGCTGCGACGCCACGCTTGGCTGTCGGTTAGTTCCGCCACGTCAAAAAAGCTCATTGTGTTTTTTTGCGTTTGGATGTTGTTGGAGCAAATAATGAAGATATGAAGATGGTTGAATTATCAGACGAAAAAGTTTGCGGTTGATGGATTCGGGGAGCAATGGCAGAGCGCTTTCTACGTTCTATACCGCCATAGTTGGGGTTTCCTCCATTTTCGGTCCAGGATTTATTTTTATTTATTTATTTTTTGACACATAAATGGGGTATACCAAGTGCTTTATCTGAGGATGTAGGTGAAAATTGAAATAGTGAAGAATAAGGGATATAATGCTTGAAGAGAGGTGGTCTTGCATTGTTAGTGTTAGACATGCATCTAGTAGTAGTACAGCTATGATATTTTGTTAATGAATTGCTTTTGAATCTATTAGGGGGTTGGAATATAAGTAGAAAAACAAAAGTGTGCATAGTCATTAAGATAATATATATATATATTAACACATATTTGCAATAAATTTCAATGGCATCATATGCTAATATTATAAAAAATAGTATTCTAAGACAGAGAGATACAAATACATGTCAAAAATACAATAAAGAACTTTAATTTTGTGCATACTAGAATGACAAAAGTTTGTTGCAAGTAGGAGTAAGATGGTTGCTTTTAAATGACAAGAGCTTTATCCAAAATCATTGGAAGATTTTTATTTTATTTTTTATTTTTTTATTTTATCTTTAAGCAAATTTAGAAGCTACTATTTGCAAAGCTATTGATTTCTTTATTTTGGTCCATATATTGTGCATTATCAAAGATACAAATCATAACAAAATTTCATAGAAGAAAAACACTCTTTTGACACTTATAGAAAGAAAGTAAAAAAATTAAAGTTAAATTTAGAATAGAAACTAAAATGGCTACTACTAAATACAAAGAAATAAAAAATTCTTGAATTAAGATAAGAACAAAAAAAAGATGATGATAACAATGAGGAAGACATCATTTTTTCTTCTATATATGTCCATATTATCTAACTAAAGTACTATATGAAAACCTTATATAGATCATCTAATATATGTTTAATTTGCAAAACATATGTTAAGGATATGAATCTTGATGAACTGAAAGATCAAAATACTCTTGTGTCACTCAAAAAGACTAGATAATCACTCAAAGATGATATAATATTAATTAGAATAGTTATTACCAAAGATAAGAAGATTAGAATGTCTTGAAATAAGACTAAAGTCTAGAAAGGGGCTAATATGAATAAAGAAGGCTTCTTTCTTGCCTCCATATATATTATCTAATTAGGAGCTATGTAGCAATATTTTATAAGACCTCCAACATGTATTGACTTTGCTAGACACATATCTTAATTTACAAGGCAAGTTTTTTTTTTTTATATGTGCACCTCATAGTTAGCTTGTTCTATTAGCTATCAACATATGTGACATATAGCTAACTTATTGATAAAGTTTTAACCTACCAATTAAATACAAACATGTATAAAATCAAAGCAACATTTATAAAGCATTTAGGAAGTCTTTCTTAAAGATATTATAAAATTAATCTATTTTTAATTACTTTTATTTAATTATATAGGTAATCATTGGAATAAATATGGTCTTGAAGATTTATTATATGTTGTTC